AGAGTCTTCTTACCAGGATTTGGAAGAAATTATCCTAAGCTGAGATTTGAAAGATGAGTAGGAGTTATATCGACTAAGATGGCACTATTCAAGAGGAGGATGGGGCCAGAAGTGTTCCAAACACTGGGAAAAGCAGCCACAAAGGCTGGAGGAGAGAGATTCCTGAGAACTAAAAGCAGTTCAGTGCGATTGAGTTGGTTTCTAAAACATTGAAATAGCAGGGACATGTAAGGATAAAGGTTACATTCCATGGAATGAGAATGAAAGGGAGAGGTGTCAGTGACTACCTAGACCTGTGGCCAGGTATTAATCACAACTCTACACAGCCTAGTGCCCTCAAAAAATATTTGATGAAAAAATCAATGAAAGAAAACATTTACTAAAGAAGTTGAAATAGGTTTTAGAGTGTTGAATGTTGCTGTCCTGGTTGTCTGTGTCCTCTTTGAGAGAGGACTTAAGTATCATAACAAATGGAAATCATCAAAGAAGTATCATATTAAACTTTAATTAATAAACAGGACTGAATAAGCATCTTCCCTCTAGAACTTTGCACTACTTTTAATCACAATTATTCATTGCACGTGTTGAGGCATGTTTATGGAATGAACAGTCACTGAAGCCTGGGGCAGAATGAGGAGCAAGTGATCTATTTAATTATATATTCTCTATATTGAACTCTTTTTTTTTAATATGTATTTTATTGATTTTTTTACAGAGAGGAAGGGAGAGGGATAGAGAGTCAGAAACATCGATGAGAGAGAAACACTGATCAGCTGCCTCCTGCACGCCCCCCACTGGGGGTGTGCCCGCAACCCAGGCACATGCCCTTGACCGGAATCGAACCCGGGACCCTTGAGTCCGCAGGCCAACGTTCTATCCACTGAGCCAAACCGGTTCTGGCTATATTGAACTCTTAATAGATATATGATTTGCAAATAGTTTCCCCTCCTGTGGGTTATCGCCTAACTCTCTTGACAGTGTCCTTTGATGTGCAAAGATTTTTAATTTTAATGAGTCTTTTTTTTTGTTGCTCATGCTTAAGAAACCATAGCCAGCCCTAACCGGTTTGGCTCAGTGGATAGAGCGTCGGCCTGCGGACTCAAGGGTCCCAGGTTCGATTCCGGTCAAGGGCATGTACCTTGGCTGCGGGCACATCCCCAGTAGGGGGCATGCAGGAGGCAGCTGATCAATGTTTCTCACTCATTGATGTTTCTAACTATCCCTCTCCCTTCCTCTCTGTAAAAAATCAATAAAATATATTTTTAAAAAAACAAGAAAAAAACAAACCATAGCCAAACCCAAGGTCATGCAGATGTCCCCCTGTTTCCTTCTAAGAGTTTTATAGTGTTAGCCTTTAAAGGTAGGTCCTTAATCCATTTCAAGTTACTTTTTCTGTATATTATGTAAGATCTGGATCCAACTTCATGCTTTTGCATGTGTAAATCCAGTTTTCTCAGCACTGTCTGTTGAAGAGATTATCCTTTTCCCCATTACATGATCTTGGCATTTGAATTTCATTAGAGTTGTTCTCAAAGATAAAAGATCAGTGTCAAGTGAGACTCCTACCTGAGTGTTATCACGGTAACTTTTTTGATAGCCTTTTAAAATAACTTACCAGAACTCACTTATTATTCAAGGAACATACAGGAGACGTCAACTTTCTTTGCAGTAAAAATTGTACAGTTTTCCTTATTTTCTGTGGCTGAGGTCAATAAAACTTAAAAACAGTGCTCTGGAGATTTTCACAATTCATAACTCCTGACACCTGTCAGCACACCAGGTCAGATGCCTGGGGAGGTGGTGAGTGGGCGGGGGGTGCTAGAGGACTTCTGATGCTCTGTGAGAATACTTGCTGACCTGAGGCCTGGGTGTCCACACGTGGCTCTAGGCACAATTCCTGCCCTTTAGTTTCTGTGGTCTCTTCATGCAGGAGCTGGTTGCTGAAAGCATGGGCGAGGAACTGAGAGGTATTCTAGCCACTGCCTTCAAGAGAACCAGCCCGTTCCTTACAAATCAAGTGTTCAACAGGTTTGTGTGGCCCGTGCGACTTCTGCACTGTGTGCCGTGGCTTTGGGAGTGCAGTAGAGAGTGGCTTCTGACTTGGATGTGATATTCCCTTAATAATAAATCATCGCCATAAGGATCCCATTGCTGATTTGGGCAAAGCACACATTATTTCCTGTTGGCCCTGACCCCTTGGCACTGTAACCCCTAATTCTACTCATCAGGCGGGGGAGAGTTTAGATGCCTAGTTGCCAGGCTGAAGAGCATGCCCAGGAAGTCAACATCCTCTTCTTCCCAACCTTCCTCCTATGCCCACAGGATGCTTCTTGTCCTGGGCCATCCACTGAGGTTTGTGGGGTGCCATGCCCTTCCCTCTGATGCTTTGTTGGCATGGCCCAACGTGATCTGTATGTTGAAGGTAGATCTCAGTGTGGCTGATCTTTCAGGAGGATATGTATGGACTCTTACCTAACCAGATTGGCCCCAATCATACGTTTTGTGTTCACAGCTATCACTCGGAAACAAATATTGTTCGATATATGAAGAAATTAGAAAACAAAGACATTTCCCTCGTTCACAGCATGATTCCACTGGTAATTATTACTTTTATCTCCCCCCGCCCCCTCTTTGGGTCACATGTAATATGCTGCAGGAGGGATGAATGGGTGGCCTTGTGGGGAGATAGAAGGGCTGATCATACGGATCATAGGCAATCACTAATGCAATTTATTTTGGTTGTGCTTCTTAAAGGGATCCTGTACCATGAAGCTCAACAGTTCATCTGAACTTGCAGTAAGTAGGTCACTTCTAAGAAGGAACTTGTTCTGGCTGTACATAACTAGAGAAAACTGCTACTGGGACGGTGAATTAATAACTACTTTAGTAATCCTTTTCCTTGTTATTCAGCAATCTTGGCAGAAACCCCAATTTTACCACAACCTGATCATTTAAATTTATGAGTCAGATTATTTTGAAATATTAAAATAATTAAATATATAGTATTTATACCTTCCTACCCTCCCACCATCTTTTGTTAAACCTGCCACATGAAAAGCTTTTATTTTGATCAATTTGTGGTTGTTAAGCTCAGCAGAACCTTAAGCCTTCTTTCTAGAAATCCATTCATAGTGCCAAAGGGTAGAGATTTGAGGTTTTAATTTCTTTCTTGTGTTAACAGAAGATTTGTGTAACCTGCTGTTGTGTTGGTAAGCATGTTTCCTAGGCTAGGATCCATTTCAACAAAGTTAGCTTGTTCCTTTTTTTCCACTGGAGTATTCAGATGTGACCAATCACATCAGGCCAAGGAAATAATTTTATATTGTGACAGGAAGGTTTCCCCCATTTGCTTTTCTGTTGCTTTGTTCTGCTTAATGAAGAGACAATAATGTACATGCTATGTAAGAGTTTGAATAAACTGTACTTGAAACAACTCATTGGGATTCATGGATATAAATCTATTTTCGGGCCTTTTTGTCCCTAAAAAAGATAGAAAGAGGTTATATTTTTGCACAAGTTTGCTTTCTGGGACTCTGGGACTCACTTCTAAAATGAAGACAGTAGTAGAACTTACCTTGTAAGATTGTGGTGAGAGTTAAATGAAGGAATATATTAAAGTGCTGAAAGCAGCCCTAGCCGGCTTGGCTCAGTGGATAGAGCGTCAGCCTGTGGACTGAAGGGTCCCAGGTTCGATTCCGGCCAAGGGCACATGCCTGGGTTGCAGGCTCGATCCCCAGTAGGGGGTGTGAAGGAGGCAGCCAATCAATGATTCTCTCTCATCATTGATGTTTCTATCTCTCTCTCCTTCCTTCCTCTCTGAAATCAATAAAGAAAAATATTTTTAAAATAAATAAATAAAGTGCTGAAAGCAGTGCCTGGCACATAGTAAGCACTGCATGTCAGATCATGCTTTCATCATCATCACATCATCAAAGTTAATATTGTTACTGCTGTTACAATATGTATATATGCATGTTTTCTCCTTTCTTGCTCTTCAGCCAATCACATGGAGTGAATTTGCAAACATCCACCCCTTTGTGCCTTTGGACCAAGCTCAAGGGTACCAGCAGCTTTTCCGAGAGCTTGAGAAGGATTTGTGTGAGATCACAGGCTACGACCGAATCTGTTTACAGCCTAACAGGTAAGGGGATTTCATTTCCTGTCATTTTAGTTACTGCTTGGGGTATAACACAACACCCATCTTAACACTTAGAGGTTTGAAGCAACAAATAGTTTGTACCCTTCTGAGTTGAGTGGACAGTTCCCCTCCACTGGGGTGGATGACCAGAAGGTCCAAAGTGGCCTCCTTCATTGCTGAGAAGTTAGTGGTGGGCTGTTGGCCGGGGGAAGTTAGTTCAGGCCATGGCTATGGATCTTGGCTCTTCTCTCTGTGGCCCTCTCCATGTGATTGCTTGAACTTCCTCACGGAATGATACCAGGGTTCAAAGCACAGTGCTCCGAGGTGGAAGGATGTGGAAGCTGCAAACCTCTTAAGGCTCAGCCTCTGAAGTCACTCAGCCTCGCTTCCAGAGCATTCTGTTTGCCACAGCAGGTTACAGGGCCAGCCCAGATTTCATGTGGGAAGGGACACAACAGGGGTGTGAATGTTGAGAGTCATGGTTCGTTGTGGGCCGTCTTTGGAAACTAGTTACTATACCTATCAATAGCATAGTAAAAGAAGGAAAGTCAAGCACACATGTTAGCTCCTACGAAGCAGCAATGTCTCAATCTAACGGCCAGGAGAACCTGGATCCTGGTTTCTTCTGTCACTAACTTTGAAAGTTCCTTCCCCTCTTCTGGCCTTGGTCTTTTTATCTGCAAAGTAAAAAACTTTGAAGAATAGTGATTTGTAAAAACAGAGGGTTTTGGCAACATCTCCTGGGTACCTTTAAAAAATACAAATTCCAGCCCCACCGGTGTTGCTCAGTGGTTGAGCGTCGACCTAGGAACCAGGAGATGGGGGTTCGATTCCCGGTCAGGGTATATGCCTGGGTTGGGGGCTCGATTCCCAGTTGGAGGCATGCAGGAGGCAGCTGATAGATGATTCTCTCTCATCATTGATGTTGCTATCTCTCTCTCCCGCTCTCTGAAATCAATAAAAACATTAAAAAATATATAAATTCCTGGGCCCCAATCCAGACCTACTGATCATAATCTTCAGGTGTTGAGACTAAAAATCTTTATTTTTAAGAAGCAACAAAATGATTCTGATATACAGCCAATTTGGAATCCACTGCATTTGTGATCTCTCTGTCTTCCTGGGAGTGCAGACAGACCTGTGATCGGTGTGGAGTTAAGGTCTTAGGACAGCTTCGAAGAGGAGTCGGATTCTGCTCCTGGGTTCTCTACCTCCTACGACCCAAGGTGTAATTCTTCCCCAGTAGCCTCAGCATTGGCATCACCTAGGACTTTGCTAGAAATACAGAATTTCGATTTTAAAAATCAAATGATTTAAAAACGGAGACAATTATTGTCTCACTTTCTGAAAGAGAAAGTAACCAAGTTTTAATCAGCTATAATCAAGCTTAACCTCCTGTTTGGTAACATAGGCTACATAGCAAAGCCATGCACTTTTTTTTTCTTTTTAACATATTTTTATTGATTTCAGAGAGGAAGGGAAAGAGAGATAGAAGCATCAATGATGAGAGATAGAAACATCATTGATTGGTTGCCTCCTGCACGCCCCCCACTGGGGATCAAGCCTACAACCCTGGCATGTGCCCTGACCAGGAATCAAACCATGACCTCCTGGTTCATAGGTTGATGCTCAACCACTGAGCCACACCGGTCGGGCAGAGCCATGCACTTTGAAAAACAATATACCCTATCAAGCACGAATCCTTTAGGAAGAGGGTAGATGGCACATGAAAGGACATGGAGCTCTTTTAACAATAGCCTTTCAAATCCTCATTACACAAATAGGAAGGAACTGACATTCATGAAAGTCAGGCTTCAGTATACTCTCATTAAAATGTTATCATTCAGCTTTTTTTTTTTTAAGTATGAGAGGAACCTGATTGAATTCTTAACCTTAGGCAATAATGCTTTATTAAATGTTGAAAATGAAGAAATTTTGCCCTCTAGTGATGGAATAGGATTGCATCTTCAGTGTCATATTGGAGAGCAATGTTTCAAGACTAATTCTTAAGTCATTAGCTCTTGCAGTAAATTAAGGTCCCAGCCAGAGTCCCCAGAGGCTGCCCTAAGGATGAGGAAGCTTGCCTTCCCTTAAAGCAATGGTTCCCAACCCTTTCTGGAAATTAGATTCATAGGGTGAGTTTATACAAATTCTGATGTCCAGATCACAATCCCAGATCCAATCACAATCTCAATGGGGAAAGACAGGAGTGAGAGAGGGGACATATTGTGACATGAAAACCTTGGTTCACGTAGCCAAGTCTTCACTTGGTTGATAGTTAGATCCCAAAGGTTTTTTGTTTGTTTGTTTTTAAATATATTTTTATTGTTTTCAGAGAGGAAGGGAGAGGGAGAGAGAGATAGAAACATCAATGATGAGAGAGAACCATTGATCTGCTGCCTCCTGCACGCCCCCCTACCGGGGATCAAGCCTGCAACCCAGGCACTTGCCCTTGACCGGAATTGAACTCAGAACCCTTCAGTCCACAGGCCTATGCTCTATCCACTGAGCCAAACCAGCTAGGGCGATCCCAAAGGTTTTTAAGAACTTGAAACAAAAATGTCAGGAACCCGGAGGGCTTTTCCAGCTTGGTGGAGAACATAGCCAAAAATATTTAATTACCTTTCCATTTCCTATTGCGCCTAGCATGGTTGCTTTGGCTCTTTCTCATAACGCGGTGACACTCGTAGATTCATTCAGCAGCTCACAGACACACTCCAGGAATTGCTGGGTTAGAATGATATATAATGCAATGTTTAAGGCAGACAGAAACAGTAATTAACACCTTTCAAAGATGTTACTCTAAAAGGGAAGACAATCTAAAATTTTTATTAGCTCACTTGGCTTATAAGAGTGAGGAAGTTGTTTTTATCTTTAAAAACTGCAGGGTTACTTTTTTAATTAACAACAGCAGCTATAATAATCTCCAAATAGTCCAATGTAGCTAACTTCTGAGAAATTTCTGATGGTGTCTATAAACTCAGCAACTATATTCCTTAGACAGAATAAAGAGATTACTTCATGGCTGGCCAATGATGTCTTCTGCTGTGTGTACATCAGTGACAAATGTACACAGTTACTGACCAAAATGCCTTCTTTATAGGCTGCAATTAATTTTTTAAAATGTAGGTTTTTATTGTTTTCAGAGAGAGGAAAGGGGAGAGAGAAAGAGATGGAAACATTAATGACGAGAGAGAATCATCTATCGGCTGCCTCCTGCACAACCCCTACTGGGGATCGAGCCCGCAACCTGGGCATGTGCCCTGACTGAGAATTGAACCGTGACCTCCTGGTTCATAGGTTGACATTCAACCACTGAGCCACACTGGCCAGGCTGCAATTTATTTATCATCTTAATCCATCTGAAGTTTTATGCTTAAGAAGTGCTATGCTTTCCACCTGTGACTCCTGGCCATGCATATTCTGCAAAATCATCCAGAAGAGCAGGCTACGTTCCCTCTCAGATAGACATATCATCTGCAATCTTATTTCTAAAATCTAGCAGAAGGTTACAAGTATCCCTTGGGGTTGAGATTGTGTGATGGTCCAATAAACATTTTTTCCAAATATCTAAAGATGTAATCCTTGGAACTAAATTGCAGTATTTCTAAATCTCAACCTTTTTGCCCAGGTTCAAATGATAAACATCTTTGAAATTTACTGTGTCCTTAAACTCTTGTTTTAATCTTGGCCAAAGAGCTGAACTATGACCCTAGCCCTATCATGGGTTCTTCAAATTCCACCACTACCCTCACCCTCTTTTCTTTTTCTCTCTCTTTCTAAATTTACATTGAGTAGCTGCCCCGAATTTCCACACTTATGATGCTACACTGTTACTAATAGGGTGTAGGTCAGTGATGGCGAACCTTTTGAGCTCGGCGTGTCAGCATTTTAAAAAACCCTAACTTAACTCTGATGCCGTGTCACATATAGAAATTTTTTGATATTTGCAACCATAGTAAAACAAAGAGTAAAACAAAGACTTATATTTTTGATATTTATTTTATATATTTAAATGTCATTTAACAAAGAAAAATCAACCAAAAAAATGAGACGTGTGTCATAGGTTCGCCATCACTGGTCTAGGTTTACATAATCACAAAACTGTTGAATCCTATCAACTCCAGTTTATTATCACCTCGGGAGTCATTGTGCTTGTTATATGTGTTCTAGCTTCTTCTAGTCTACTGGATTTCTCTGGATTCTTTGTAGAATGAGTCTGGGTTTTGGGAGAGGTTGTCAGTTAGTTTTTACTCATTCTATGTTAATCAGTATCACACGTAGCCATAGCCATTCCTTCAGCAGCCTGAGTAAATGCCAGGACTTGCGGGACTTGTTTTTCTAAAACAGTTTAATCTTGTGCTCACTCGGCACTTCTGTGGGTCTGAGGCTCCCCATCCACAAGAGTCCTCCTTTCTGTGGCTGGCTCTGCAGGTCCAGGCCACTAACTGCTTCATTTAAAAGAGATGTCAGAAATTCACTATCCTGCCTGGCTGGCATGGCTCAGTGGTTGGGCATCTACCTATGAACTAGGAGTCAGGGTTCAATTCCCAGTCAGGGCACATGCCTGGGTTGCCGGCTCGATCCCAGTAGAGGGCGTGCAGGAGGCAGCCGATCAATGATTCTCTCTCCTCATTAATGTTTCTATTTCTCTCTCTCCCTCTCCCTTCCTTTCTGAAAGCAATAAAAATATATTTTTTTTAAAAAAAAAAGAAGAAAGAAAAGAAATTCACTATCCTAGCTGCCCCTCCACACAGAATGGTTTCCTGACGATCTCTTTATCTGGGTTATGAAAATAAGCACTTACTTTTCATAATACTTTCTCACCAACAGGTGGCACTAATAACCCCCCTTTCTTTAATAGTGGACTAGTAGTAAGCCATGTGTGGCATTTAGAACTTATCTTCCACACTTTTGAGTAGAAACATAGCTGATTTTAAGAGCATCTCAGGCAAAAATATGGAAATATCGAAACAGCATTTCTGATAAAATCTTTAGCATGTTGACTTTCTCTTTTTTTATATATAAATATGTTTTTACTGAGCCACGCCAGCTGCCTGAGTTTTTAAAATATATATCCCCTCCACCGTATATATATATATATATATACCCTATATATATATAAATAATTTTTTGCCTGGCCTACCTAGCTCAGTGGTTGAGCTTTGACCTATGAACCAGGAGTTCATGGTTCAATTCCCGGTCAGGGCACATGCCCAGGTTTCAGGCTCGATCCCCTGTGGGGGGCGTGCAGGAGGCAGCCAACAGATGATTCTCTCTCATCATTGATGTTTCTATCTATCTCTGTCCTTCTCCCTTCCTCTCTGAAATTAATAAAGATATATTTAAAAATATATACATATAATTTTTTCTTGTTTAACCACTATGCTGTACACCTGAAACTAATTCAAAATAATATTGAATGTAAACTGTAATTGAAAAATAAACTTAAAAAAATTCCAATGCTTAGCTTTTAGCTAAGATATAAGAGAAAGTTTATCTAACTTATTCTTAAGCCTTGTGCTTTTAGAGTATGATCTCAAAATTACTGGGTGACTAGAGGGATGAATGCCAAACCACTGGGTCTTCCACCGAGTCAAATGGTGGTGTAATTTTGCAAAATGAAGGAAATATGTATTTTGAATGGGATTAAAAAGACCTATTAGTCACTTCCCTTTCCTTCCTGCAGAGTGTACTGAAAACATTAAGTAACAGTTTAAGATTGACTCAGCATCGCTCACTGGGGTGTTAGTCATTAAGTGCGCTCTAGAAGTGGTGCCTTTCAGGACTGTTTTGTTGGGTATGGCCTGCTGCTAGCAGCTGTGTGCATGTGGGGCCTGGGAAAGCTGACCCTGAGACAGACAGAAATGGTGCCACTTTTAAAGTGCATAGTTCCTTGGGGCAATTTGGTCATTGACTAAGTATTTGGTGGTATAAGAAATCATTGTAGTTTTAGGTGTGATAGTTGTAGTTACATTTAAAAAATAATAATTCTTGTCTTTGAAAGATACATATTGAAGTTTGAATTGATGAATGACATGATTGAGTTTTGTTTCAAAATAATCTAGTTCAGAGTGAGGAGGGTTAGTGAGGGATATAGTTGGAAACAAGATTGACCTCTATAATAATAAAAGCGTAATATGCCAATTGACCGAACGGAGGAACAACCGGTAGCTATGATGCGCACTGACCACCAGGGGGCAGACACTCAACTCAGGTGCAGGGAGCGGGCCTAAGCCATCAGTTGGACATCTCCTGAGGGCTCCTGGACTGCGAGAGGGAGCAGGCTGGCCTGAGGGGACCCTCCCCCCCGCCCCACCCCCCGTGCACAAATTTCATGCACTGGGCCTCTAGTAATCAATAACTGTTAAAGCTGGGTGATAGGCACATGGCAGTTCCTTATATTCTTTACTTTATTTTTATATAATTTTGAAATTTTCCATAATCAAAAATATTTTTTAGGTTCATGGTTCTGAGTGAGGGTGGAAAGGCCCATCTCTAAGTGGGAGTGGGTGAGCTTTAGGGCACAGACCTGGCTGTTCAAGTCCCGTGGGCTCATGCAGAGATCTACCGTGAGCTTTTCATGGTGTCCGGGAGTGACTTTGTGTCACTTGTTGGCGAGCACACGGCCCGGCCCCAACGAATATTGAATGGATAAATGAAAGCAAAAAGGCCCAAATCCTAATCCTTCCCTTCTTGCCTTTGCAGTGGAGCCCAGGGGGAATATGCTGGGCTGGCCACTATCCGAGCTTACTTAGAAGAGAAAGGAGAGAGACACAGAACGGTGAGTATGGGCAAGTGGTGCTTGCCCCCCACCGGGTGGCATCGGGTCTAGCTCCCAGGGTCCCTTTCACTCTGTGGGACACCCCCCCCCCCCCGAAAGCTTTCTTAGAAGCAGCTGCGAGAACATATAATCAAGAAACAAATTTCTGTGGACTGGCCATTATGATTCTTGCCTCCAAGACACTTCACTGGACCATTTTGAGGGAAAACATTCAGAGATAAAAGGCTTTTGCTCAAACCCCGTCTGTAAAAGTCCGCCAGTTGGCTGTGAAACTGATCTCCTGAGGGAGTAAGGGGCAGGAATGTTGCCATTCCAAACCTCCTGTCCTTGGCTCAGCCCTGGCCCCAGGCCTGGAAAAGGACAGAGGCTGAGCTATAATTCTTCTGTAACTCCTACTGTGCCCAACCACAGTTCTAGTCATATGTGTGCTCAAAAAATATCGAGTCAAGAAATGCTCAATTAAATGATGTCAGCTCTAAGCAACGAAGGAAGACGTGGAACAGAGTTCATGGTTCTGCTTTATTGTTAGCTTTGGGTATGAGAGTCTAGTCTCCAGGGTCCAAACTGTTCTTGTGGGGACCAGCAGGTACAAATGGGCTCGACAAGACCTACCTTCATCTTCAGAGGCAGTGGCTTTAGCAGTTGATCTGACACAGACTTCAAATTGTGGCTGAAGGCCCTGACCGGTTTGGCTCAGTGGATAGAGCGTCGGCTTGCGGATGCAAGGGTCCTAGGTTCGATTCCGGTCAAGGGCATGTGCCTTGGTTGCGGGCACATCCCCAGTAGGGTGTGTGCAGGAGGCAGTTGATCGATGTTTCTCTCTCATCGATGTTTCTAACTCTCTATCCCTCTTCCTTCCTCTCTGTAAAAAATCAGTAAAATATATTTTAACAAATTGTGGCTGAAGGAGTGGTCTTCATGTTGGTGATGACCATGGCTTAGCTAGAACTTCCACAAAGTTCATAGGTGGAGTTCTTAGAAGGAGCAGTGGATCAGAGTCAAGAGCAGGACAAAAGTGTCTGCCCATCTAGGAGAGTTAGAGAAAAGGGTGCTCGGGTGGTACTGGCTGGCTAAGTAAGTGGGATATGATAGGTGGTGGCCCGATCTTAGTCCATTTCTGGTTTTATTTAAACTGGGATTGCTTATGGCTAGTTGCCTGGATTTTGCAATGAGAGAATCTAAAAACTGTTTCACTTCCCTTTCAAAAAAAAGGGGAGAGGGGAGAGAACATTTTCTCTCTCATTCCCTTGCTAATTCATTCGGATTCCACGTGTGTTTTCCCAGGCCTTTGACCTGGCTGGGGAATAGAATTGATTTTCAAAGACCTTTGAAAACCAGGACGTTCACTAATTGAATAAATTATTGACTACTGGCTACATGCAAAGCACTTTGTGTGCCAGTCCAGAGACACAGCCCCAGGCATTCCAACTTGTTTTTTGTTTTTTTTTTTTCACTTGAGTTTTCTCGTGGTTTTGAGTTCTTCAGCTTTCTAAGTTTAGAGCTACAGCATTGTTTTTGGACCGCAGAGCCTCAGCACTGTCATCAATTCAGAAAGGAATGTTGAGGCTCCGGTTGTCCAGTGAAAGGATAACAGATGACTGATGTTAAGAGTTCCCTCTTCTATTTTTCCTCCTTGGCCTCTGTGCACTGAGGTAGCCCCTGGAGCGCCTCCTCATTATGCTCTTTAATCAGGAGGTGTCTGGGGATCTTGGGAAGGGATCTGTGTGGCCATCTCCATGTTGTCCCCTCCCTGACCCCCCTCTCGCTCATGGAAGGCTAGCGAAGAGCTAATGACAAAGGGCCAGCTAAAATTCAGGTTCCTCCCTCGGTGATGCTTCCTACCCTCATTGTTTCCCAGACCTCCAGTTTGACACCCAGAAGTAGATGTGAATGTTCAGGAGTTGGGGAACCAACTGGAAAGGTCAAGGAGAAAGGATGAGGGACCTTTGGATTGGGCCTGAGAGGAGTCCTTTACCCAGAGACTCTTTTCGGCTCCTCCCACCCCCACCTTGTGTTTTCTAGTCCTCCCTTCTCTCTCCATCCCCTCGTGTGTGATGTTTCTTCTGGTGCCACGGTCCGCATTGCTGTCACTGAGATGTGACAGGGGGCTCTTCCTTCCTGAAGGGTGGAGAGGAGCTGGCGCCTCATTGTAGGAAGGGGAGGAAGGGGAGGGGAGGCCACCCAGTCACTAAGTTTGTAGAAATACAGAACTCATGAGTTTGGAAATGTTGGCATCCTTTTTAGATGAAAGATTTTAACTAAAGCTGACTTTTTTAGTTAGAGAAGGGGGAAATGGCTTGTTTACATCAGAGAAGTCTGAGACAGCTGCTCCTGCACAATAGACTCTGATGGAATCCATTCAGATAGGACGTGTGGGAAAGTCACGTGCTATGGAACCACCCAGGGTCCTGATGGCTCTCTTGTGTCAAGCTGGTTTGGGAAGTTAGTTTCACTTTGCTGTTAGGTTAAATTTCAGGCATTCTTAAAAGGCAACAGCCAACTTCTTGATTCCCCAGTTTAATTTGGGAGAATGCATATTTATTTATTAGATTCTTTATTTTTTTTTAATATATTTTATTGATTTTTTACAGAGAGGAAGGGAGAAGGAGAGGGATAGAAAGTTAGAAACATCAATGAGAGAGAAACATCAATTCAGCTGCTTCCTGCACACTCCCTACTAGGGATGTGCCCACAACCAAGGTACATGCCTTTGACCGGAATCGAACCTGGGACCCTTCAGTCTGCAGGCCGACATTCTATCCACTGAGCCAAACCAGTCAGGGCTATTTATCAGATTCTTGTATCGCAATCACCATGTGCCAGGCACTGTCCTAAACACTTTGAAATAACTCAATTTGCTAGTCAGGTTTGCTAGTCAAAGACTGTGTTTCCTATACAAAGGGAAAACATTGACCAAAACCAACAACAAAGAAACACCTTCCAAAAACTTTTATGTATTTTTCTCTTCCCGATTGCCTGAGGCCAAGTAATGGCCTTTGGTTGTTCAGTTTTTACCATGAGTGAGAAATTGACTTCTCTTGCAAAGGAGCATTACCCTGAATCCTTCAAGGATCAGCTATGTTGGTTCTACACCAGACATATTGGGGATTGAGGAAAACACAGCATCTCTAAATGGATATTAATGGATTTGTTTTGGATAAAGTAAAACATCAAATCTGGGTCCTGTTGTTGCTATGTCCCTCGTAACACCACAATTCTAAAGTGTGAAAAACTTATCTAAAAAATAAATATGTAAATAAATAAAGTGTGGAAAAATTAACATTAAAAAATAAAGTTTCCTAGATCCATATAGAAAACCAGAAATGTCTAACAGCAACTTGTAAAAGAATCATTGACAAAACCACTGAGACTCCCCCCCCCCCCCCCACTACTCTTTATATCAGAATGTGTATTAATTTTCAGTGGCTGCTGTAACAAATTACTACAAAATTAGTGGGTTAAAATAATACACATTTATTTTCTTACAGTATGTGGAGGCCAAGAGTCTGAAATTGGTTTCACTTGGCTAAAGTCAAGGTTTTGGCAGGGCTGGTTCCTTCTGAAGGATTCAGGGGAGGATGTTTCTTTGCCTTTCTTTCCCCATTTCTGGAGGCCTCCTTCGTTCCTTGGCTCATGGCCCCTTCCTACCATCACGCCAGCCTCTGTTCAGTCATCACATCTCCTACTTCCTTTGTAATCAGGTCTCCCTCTGCCTCCCTCTGATGAGAACACTTGCGAATACATTTGGAGCCCAACCTATAATTCAGATTTCAAGAGGAATGTTAAGGTTCCAGTTGTCCAGTGATTGACCGATGACTGACATTAAGCGTTCCCTCTTCTGATTTTCCTCCTTGCACTGAGGTAGCCCCTAAAGCTCCCCATCATTATGCTCTTTCACCATCTCCATGTAGCTTCATCCTCATCCTATCTTAAGGTCCTTAATCTCTCATCTCAAGACCCTTAACTTAATCACATCAGTCAAGTCCCTTTGCCATTTTGGGGATAAGATGTGGGCATCGTTGGAGGCCCCTTGTTCAGTGTACCATGGGATGGTTGACATTTTTAGCTTGAATGTTTCCTTTTTCTTTTTGTTAATCCTTACCCGAGGATATTTTTCCATTGATTTTTAAAGAGCGTGGAAGGGAAGGGGAGAGACACAGAGAGAGAGACATCTGTGTGATAGAGACACATCGATTGGTTTCCTCTCACACGCACCCCAACCTGGGCCTGGGATCAAGCCTGCAACCAAGGTACGTGCCTTTGATTGGAATCAAAGCCGTGACCCTTCAGGCCACAGGCCGGCATCCTATCCACCGAGCCAAACTGGCTAGGGCTTAGCTTGAATGTTTTTGTTTCAGCAGAACTTCCCTGATATGAATTCTCCACTTAGGCCTTTAACAAATAGTTTATATTCATTTTTAAAACATTTGCCTTTTCCCTTCCTTGATCAATGTTCTGCCCCTAGGGATCCTTTTATACCAAGATCCTTTGGTGGAATAAAAATACCTTGTGAGAAAGGACAAGTGACTCTCGCTTTGGTCCTGAGAAATTAAAGAACATTCAATACAAACGGGAGGCATTTAAACCAGAAAACGGCTTTGAGGATAACACAGCACAACCAGCATGAGATGAGGAGCCATTCAAAAGAGGCACAAACTTGCTGTCAGCAGAAGAGTGACAAAGTACTTTCATGTGTGCCTCTGCTTACAGTTCTCTTTGTGCACGTGTATTTTTATTAAGTAGATGACTCTGCTGTTTTTGAGGAAACAGCTGTAAGCTAAGCTTGCCTTTTGTAAGGCCATTTTATAATGTGCATCCATTTCTCTTCAAGGGATTGCAATATTGGTTCTGGTATTTAAAAAAAAAAAAAAAAAAAAAGGAGCCTGGCTGGCATGACTCAGTGGTTGAGCATCGACCTATGAACCAGGTCACGGTTCATTCCCGGGCAGGGCACATTCCTGAGTTGCTGGCTGGGTCCCCAATGAGGGCATGCAGGAGGCAGCTGATCAGTGATTCTCTCTCATCGTTGATGTTCCTATTTCTCCCTCTCCCTTCCTCTCTGAAATCAGTAAAAATAATTCTTTTTTTAAAAAGGATTATTTTCAGGGTGCTTGTTGCTTCTTTTTGTTGTTTTAGGAAAAGTCTGTAATGCATTTTCCTGTACTGGGGCGTTGTCCGATCTACTTGAGCATGTGTTTTTGCCTGTGTTCATGTGATTTTGGGGGAGGAAATGAAAGTGATTTAAATCTGGGAATTCTAGCATTGCACCCATCACCCTCTTTCCATTAGAATTCGTTAGATCTTTAAGCTGTAGGTCTTGACACACTTTCTCTTGATCTCTTTAACCTGAAGTGGCCCCCCTTCCCTTATTCCAAGTCCCCTCCCCCTCCCCTGCACCTGTCCGCTGTAGGCATTTACTTACACACGTGCAGTGTTGTCAGTGAACAAGTCGTGTGAGCACAGGGCAGAGGTTGACCAGATTTAGTGCTTAGTTTATGATTCTCATGGGAACTGACAATTCATTGCACAGAATAAACAACCAATAAAGGATGACACTGGGAGGCTTTGGAATTCTGTCTGCCCTTGTCATGTCTCTTGGATCGCAGAAGAGCCAAGCAGGGCACAGACACTGTGAGGTGGGCATTTGAGTCCTAGAGTTGAGGTTCTGATCTCACGTTTTTGTAAGGTGGTAAGTGCGTATTCTAACTGAGGTCAGGTTAGAATAAGCCCAAGGGTATTTTTGGTGTGCTGGGATAAAGGAGCAAAGTACTTAGGGAACATTGTTTGGGCATCCAAACAGAAACTTCTCTTTTGGACAATGTTTTGCAATACGGTAACAATGAAATTGCAGCAGATGTTAAGGCACTAGTGGTCAGTTTAAATAAAGGAAGTGGTGCCTATTTAATTTTTGCTCCAAGCATGTTGTAGGGCAAGCATGTCAAACTTGTGGCCCGCGAGCCGCATGCGGCCCACAATGAATATTTTTGCATCCCAGCCAATATAACGATATATGAGAAATGTTTTAATAAAAATTTCATAACTTAATTTTTATAATATCCTGTTATACATAATTATTAATAACAAACTACAACGTTCACTAATGACTGATAACTAGAATCGTGTTGCATTCATTTCCCTTACGCGCCTTACGCACAGGCGCACCATTTCTCTCCACTAATACTAGCAGCGAATATTTTAGCAGCCGATTGCCACGTCATTAGTCTTGTACTGACTTGTTTGGTGTGTGCAACAGGAAATATTTCACTTTTGGGGAACAAGAAAAATAGGTTTATTTGCATTACGCTTAATAATTTGTGCAGTTATTTAGTGTCTGGTAAGTTAATGTTCAAGAAAAAAATATTAATTTTTATTAAAATGTTCTATTATTTTATGTTAATGATGACTCATTTATTTCAGCCCTTTGTATTGAGCATGTCTCTATCGAAATACACCTACGTTTCTATGAAAATTGAAGCTTTTGTTTTATTGCGGCCACATGAACTTACACCTTGTTTATGTGGCCCGCGTGAGCCTGTGGGTTTGATGTGCTTGTTGTAGGGCTTTTCTGTCATGATGAATAGCCTGGTGATTATTTATCCTCCTTCCTTCCTTTCATTTCATTCCTAAGGTTTGCCTCATTCCGAAATCAGCTCATGGGACCAATCCCGCAAGTGCCCACATGGCAGGCATGAAGATTCAGCCTGTGGAGGTGGATAAATATGGAAATATCGACACAGCTCACCTCAAGGCCATGGTACCCATCTTCCACTTAACAGATGCGAGCGGTTTGGGTTGGGAAGGGGTGGTGGGGGTCAGGGGCTGGATGGTTTATATCAGCATTAGCTTCTTTTGCATTCTAATTAAAAGACTGCAATTCCTCCCCTGAATGGGTCTGGGAATAATGGCGTAAAGTCAGAAAACCTAACCGTTTCTGTAGGAACAATAAAAGGCAACAGTCACAGTTTTGCTCCAGAATTAAGCGGACCACAGTCTGGCCTTCCACTTCTTTCACCAACAGGGAGCAGGTTCTTTAAATTGAAATCCTATTCTCTAATTTATGCATGAGTAAGAAACCGAATGAATTATTCATGGTGGTAGTAAGGGTACTCCTTGGAGGACCTGCCTACTCCTGCCCAAACTGCCCCTCTTTCCTCCATTAATAATCAAACTGGCAGCCACGGTTTTTCTCAATCTTTGTGTTGGGAATTAAAACATAAATGCAGATTTTGCAAATGCTTGTGGCCATCCCAGCCATTACCTGCTGAATATCGGGCAGCATTCCACCCTCCTTTCTAAAACACCATCCCCCACTCCCAACCTCCCAACCTCCAGGAAGAGGTTGCCTAGCAACCGTATCTGCTTTCCACTGGTGGACTGGAGGCTGCATCTTAAGAGGGAAGGAAATCAGTTGAATAGCAATGTGATTTTGTCAGGGTTATTAGGCATGGAGTCTGGGAACTTCAAGTAACTGATTTCAAAAGGGAAGCTGAAAATACACAACAGTGCTCATCTCTCTCATTCACCTCCCCTCTTCCATCAGTCCACAAAGTTTTTACCAACAACTGTTTTGGGCCAGTATAGGTTACTGACATTAAAATTTTGTTTTCATTTTCATACAAGCCTGCAATGACTTGCTGGCCAGAAAAACGGGAACTTTTTCACATGCTTTCCTTTTATATATGCTTGCCTTCTGTCAGGAGGAAAACTGAGGGAGATCATCCCCCCCCCCCCCCCGCCCCCTGCCCCCCATCAGAGCAGGAGCACTCCTTGTGGGAATTCTAATTTCCATAGAATGGGAGGGAAAAGGAATAATGGTGGATATGGCAAGATGAGCCGAGAGAGATTAACTGTGAAAATATACATGTTTGGAACTAAAAAGATCTGAAATCATTACTGAGATGACTTCAAAGGAAAACCACTTTAGAGACTTGAGCCCAATCTGTCCAAAAATTTTGAGCAGTGTTTCTGGTGTTGACCATGGAGACCTAGCCTGGAGGGATCTTGTTATTTCTTTGGAATGACTAATGAAGGGAATCATGGCTGTGGGTCTTTTATTGTTGGCATCATACTTTAAGAAAACTTCAGAAATGAAAAGACCAAGAATTCATCTTTCTTAATCCTTTAAAGTAAAAAGCAAGGGTTTGTTGGACCAAGAAAGAAAGGTTTCCTCCTTTGTCTCCTTCTGCCCTTTTCTGTCCCACAGGTGGATAAACACAAGGAGAACCTGGCAGCCATCATGATTACATACCCATCCACCAATGGGGTGTTTGAAGAGAACATCAGCGACGTGTGTGACCTGATTCACCAACACGGAGGCCAGGTCTACCTAGACGGGGCAAATATGAATGCTCAGGTGGGCAACACGAGATGGGATTCCTGAGAAAACTGTTAAGTGAAAACATTTTTTTTTCTCTGACCTTTTGAGGGTTGTCTTAAATATGACGCAGTATTCAGAACTGAGGATGACAGTTTCAAACAAAGCCCCCGAATGTCACTGAGATTACAGATCCTAAATAGGTGATGGGGGACGCTGGGGAGGAGGCGAAACGGTTGAAAGGAAGGAGGGAATGAGTTGAAAGCCTTTAGCTTGACACGGGTGTGATCCCTCTGGGGGTGGGAGAGACAAGAGGCTCACCTGACTGCCTTTCTGAGAGAATTCAGACCCAAGTTCTGGCCATCCGTGAATGTTGATCTGCCATGACCTTGGACAAGCCATTAAACCGGCTTCAGCTTCCAGCTTCGTTCGTGTGAAACAGCTGAATAGTTCTTTCCCTGAAGGCAGGTCCTGACCAGTGTGGAGGGAGGGGGAAAGGAGAAGGCTTGTGTGGTGTGCAAGGAGTGTCATTATCTCTCTCAGAGACTTCCTAACTTATTTCTCATTGCTTATTTGTTTTACTATTTCAGACTCTTTCTGCTTTTCTTTGCTTCTGATTTCCTTTGTAAGTGTCGTCCAGGGATTGTGTGTTGCTTCACTAGCAGAAATGCATTCTTTATCTCTGCCCGCATTCAAAACCAGCCCTAATTCCAAAGTGGCAGGGACGCCCGTTGAATGTTGTCGTTGTTGAATGTTGTCGTTGGCATCGGGATGGCCTCAGGAAAACTGCCCGCCTCCCTTCCTCTCCCTGGGCTCATCAGCATCCTCTTGGGCAGCCCTCCTGCCCCTCCCATCAGGGTGCCCAAAGGGGCCTTTCGGGGAAAGTGCAGGGGGAACTAAACTGCTGGGGTGAGAGGTGCCCGTGTCCGTTGCAAGGGGTACAACCATTCTTGTGCTGCGGCATTTTCTTTCTCCGCTCAGGGGGTGGGTAATTAGGAATTGACTATATATTCAACTCTGTATTTTAGAATCTAAATTAGGCTAAATGGTCAGCTGCTGTTTCCACAGAAACCACAAGGCATGCTGCCTATGGAATGCCAGGCTTCCCTGCAGGCCTCAGCCGGGACTGAGGGTGTGCCTGTGAGCAGCTCTGCCTGCCTTTCCTCCGCGGGGAGGGGCCACAGCACGCAGCATGGCCGTCTCTCCAGAGCATCCTTTCCAGTTCTTGACTTTGACTTTCGGCTCTTTCCCACTGTGGTAGGTGGGAATCTGTCGTCCTGGAGACTTTGGGTCTGATGTCTCGCACCTAAACCTTCACAAGACCTTCTGCGTTCCCCACGGAGGAGGCGGCCCTGGCATGGGGCCCATCGGAGTGTGAGTTCTGGGCTGCTGGGTTCAGCATGGCTTTGGACACTGAGAATGAAGGAACAGCCCCAAACCTGCTATTATTCCCATTGAGGTCTTCAGGTGGCGAGGTTACCTGCCTATGTAATGTGCCCATAGGGCCTGGGACGGGAGCAGTGAAATAGATGCCTTTAGGGTATGTCCAAGGAAGACCATAATTAGATTTTATTAACCATAACGTTTGATTGGCCACTCTGAGCTCCCATTCATGCACAGACAGGGCACGTTTATTAAGAGTAGTGAAGAGGGAGCTTTTGCCCTAGCCGGTTTGGCTCAGTGGATAGAGCGTCGGCCTGCGGACTGAAAGGTCCCAGGTTTGATACCGGTCAAAGGCATGTACCTTGGTTGTGGGCACATCCCCAGTAAGAGGTGTGCAGGAGGCAGCTGATCGATGTTTCTAACTCTCTATCCCTCTCCCTTCCTCTCTGTAAAAAATCAATAAAAATATATTTTTTTTTAAAAAAAAAGAGGGAGCTTTGCTGGAGGATTATGGATCAGAACTGGAATATTAGCACCTGGAAATGCTTTTCAGACTTAGACTTCTTTCTCTTTAAAATCAGCTGATGGTTACATTGAAAGTGAATTGCCTAATAACAACAACAGCAAAAGAACTCCTAGTAGAAAGTGGCTTTGAATTCTTATTACATCTGAGATAAGTAAGGAGAAAATAAACCTTATTATTAGAAATAATTGGATGAAGTCAAAATAAGACCAAAGGAGTGTCTTCTCAATGTTGTGTATCTTTTTACACTGTGAAATCAAGTCATCTTATGAAAATGAGGCTAAGCAGCCATGTCCTGAGCTTCCGTCTTCCAAAAATGTGCCAAAGGGGCCAGTCTTCAGGGCTTGGATTCTGCCCCCTTTTTTCTGCTTTCCTTTTTGATGGTTATTATTTATTGTAAGTGGGAGAGGCCCAGTGCCTCAGCTGTGGGAAAGGTGGGGTGAATGGTTCACATGCAGGCCTCTGATGTGTGGCCCCATGGGCTTCTTCCAAGCAGCATCCTTCTCTGTCCCTCAGGTGCCTCAGGACAGAGTGTGGGGCTGGGAGGGAGCGGGTATGGGGCTGGGATGTCCGCACATCCCGGTGAGCCTGCCTCAGACAAATCCTCCACCGCAGTTCCTGGGGGAGCCCCTGGGACACCCATGTCTGGTGAGCCGTGCTTCCAGGGGAGGAGGAAGGCAGGGACACTTCCTGAACGTCTGCCTTAGCGCTGTCAGGTCCCTCCCACACTCAGAGTTCCTCAATTGCAGTGGTTCTCAACCTTCCTAACGCCGTGACCCTTTAATACAGTTCCTCATGTTGTGGTGACCCCCAATTTCATTGTTACAAATTGAACATAATTAAAGCATAGTGATTAATCACAAAAACAATATATAATTATATATGTGTTTTCTGATGGTCTTAGGTGACCCCTGTGAAAGGGTCATTCGACCCCCAAAGGGGTCGCGACCCACAGGTTGAGAACCGCTGCTCTATTGGGAACAGCTTCCTGAGAGGGCCCGGCATATACCTTGCTGGTTGTAGTGGATCTTTTTTTTTATATGTTTTATTGATTTTTTACAGAGAGGAAGGGAGAGGGATAGAGAATTAGAAACATCGATGAGAGAGAAACATCGATCAGCTGCCTCCTGCACACCTCCTACTGGGAATGTGCCCGCCACCAAGGTACATGCCCTTGACCGGAATCGAACCCGGGACCCTTCAGTCCGCAGGCCGACGCTCTATCCACTGAGCCAAACCGGTCAGGGCTGTAGTGGACATTTTTAAATCTTCTGAACTTGTACTTAAAACTACAGGAAGAAGCATCTTGCCCCTTTCCTACCCAGTCATCCTGTCATTTCGTTAACGTCTGATGAGGATGCCCGGCCCGTGGGGACCGTCAGCGCAGCCCCGTGGGGCTCCAGTTCCATCCTGCCCATTTCATGGGCTTACATTAAGGTGAGGCCTGTGAATGTGTGTTAGGTGGGCGGGGGGATGTGATGTGTAGGCGGGGAACTAAGATCGCAGACTTCCTTCTTAGCTTGAAAATGAAAAACCCCCCACAATCTGAGATGTGATTAGTGAAGATTGCCGATGTCTTTGGGTGGAAGAAACCTTCTACAGAGACCAGCTAAAATGCATTTCATCTCGTCTTCATTATGCTATTTCCTTTGGGTTCTCACAGGGGGTTTAACGTCAGAGAAATGAACACACCAGATCTGTTTTTCCAGACAGAGTTTAAGTCCTCTGAGTCATGTGGCTATTCTGGCCACGTCATCTGGTTTCCTGGAGGATTTGGATGACCGCTTTTTGCAAGTGACAAACAGTGTGCATACTAAGTCTTACACTTGGTTGAGATCCTGGGATAAATTCTAGGAATACATCTTACTTCACTTTATATTTCTCGGAAGCCTGGAGGAGCAGATGAACAGAAGCAGACATTTGCTGATGTGGTGGTTTCCCGAAGCTCTTTGCCCTTTACGGCCTGTGGAGCTGCTCTCTCGGGGGCAATTAGACTTTGTCAGAAAACAGGCTTCCTTCCTTTGTGTTTCTCCAAAAAAACACTAGCGCCAGAGTCTATGCAGCTCTTGTTCGAACTGGCCTGCCCGCCTCCTGGGCTGACCGGACTGTGTGTTGGAGAGGAACCTTCCTTCAGCTGCTGATCAGAGCCGCCTTCCCCCATTGGCTCCTCCCTTTAAAGGAAGGGTGGCTTCTGGTGAAACAAAACCTCAAACTCAGCCATGCAGATCATGCCGGATGGCTCTCCGGGGCTGGCTGTGCTTCTTGAACAGTGTGGCGCGTATGATTCTTAAGGAAAACTTTCTGGGAAGCTGGAAAAATTCCGTACCTCAGAGACGAAAACCTTCTTTTTTAAATGACCCTCGAGTTGTTTTGCGATTAGGAGACAACAAAGACCATCATAATAAAGGCCTGCTTCTTTGCAAACGGAATCTAATTCCCAGCTTCCTTTCGGTCCTGGGTTGGAGATGATTTCCCACAGATAGAAAATAAATGCCCCGGGCTGATTTGGCTGGGTGCCAGGAACACCAGGCAGAGCCTCAGTGTACGAGTGAAGTAAATAAAATAGGGGTTAATCGACCCTTTGACTTTGGGCCCTGTCTTTACTTCACCTGGACTCTAGAACTACCTTTTCTCTCCCTGTTTCGGTCCATCTTGGACATTCTCCCTGAAGGCCCCCAAATCCACTCCTTGCTTCCCTTTGCAATCACCACTGGGTCTCACTAGCCTACATAGAACTCTTAGGGGATTCTTCAAAAATGCACATGCCTAGGTCCCAGAGAGAATCAAATGCAGCGTATGTAGGGGCGGGCTTGAGCCATCGAGCTGCTCAGTAACTGATATACAAGTCAGAAAGCTAGTCGCTGAACCAAGTCCAAGTCCTCCCTCGCAAAAGTTTGAGGCTTGCAAGAGGTAGTCACAATGCACCAGGCTCTACAGCAGTGGTTCTCAACCTTCCTAATGCCCCGACCCTTTAATACAGTTCCTCATGTTGTGGTGACCCCCAATTTCAGTGTTACAAATTGAACATAATTAAAGCATAGTGATTAATCACAAAAACAATATGTAATTATATATGTGTTTTCTGATGGTCTTAGGCGACCCCTGTGAAAGGGTCGTTTGACCCCCAAAGGGGTCACGACCCACAGGTTGAGAACCGCTGCTCTACAGGAACTCCCAGACTGCAGCCGTGTGCTTTCCCTTCTACGCCTTCGTTTTTGCCGTTCTTCTCACCTGGAGTGTCTTCCCCTTTCTGGTCTATCCAAATTCTACCCATTTTTAAATTTCCACTCAGTCTACTTTCCCAGGGACCTGTGACAGCTGGCAAATGTGTCTCTCATACTTTGGACTTTGGTGCCTCTGTGTTTTATAGATGCTTTCTCATGCGCTTTACATTAGTTATGTATTTAATACATATCAAGCCTCCATCATACGTGATGTATTCTGGGAATAAAGTACGCAATAAAAATTGTGCAAGTCTTGACTTTAAGCCCTTTACCCCATATAATCACAGAGACTTATGAGCCACCAGAAAAAGGTATAATTGAACCCAGCAGTTGTTAAACATAAATGGCCTTGACTGTGGACAGTTGGAAGACAAACCACACAAAATTGATTCAGTGGGGATTTTGGCCAAGATCCCATGGGATTCTTGGCAATCATCAAGGCATCTCAAATTCACAGTAAACAAACAAAAACTCCCCTAAATGAGTATAACCTAAAATAATTCTTTTCCCTTTTTAGGTAACACAATAGTCAGCAGTCAGTTTTACCCTGTAGGCTTTGTTACTGTAATAAGCAATGTAAAATTACCGTTCACAGGAGAAAACCAAAAATTGCTTCAGGATTAGAGAGGACTGACAGATGTCCTTGTTAGGGTTTCCACTCGCGTGCAATTTACAGTGATGGTGGGCTGACTTTCTTTGTAGGGGGATTTCTCAGGAGGTGTCTTTGGTTTGTGCCCATTGGGTTTACCTGTTCCATAGTTGATGGCTCTTTCCCTCTGTTACAGATGATGGGAGGCAAGGGCCTTAAACAAGCCACGGAAGTTGCTATATTGAATGCCAACTACATGGCCAAGAGATTAGAAAAACACTACAGAGTCCTTTTCCGGGGTGCAAGAGGCAAGTATTAACTTGAGTCACGTTGGTTTTTTCTTGGTCAAACCAAGTTTGTCCTAATAGATCTGGTTTTCTGAAGTGGGTGGAAAACTTGTGTTTCTTAGTGTACACCAGAGAAAAGTGTACAGTTATTGGAAATGCTTTTAATTTAGCTAACAGATCAGAGGTATCTGCATTTGCAAGTCTCTGCAATGAAGTTAGTTCAGGCCAACACGAAGCCCACACCACGGAGAGATATATACGTAAATTCCATGAGCTCCTTACCTTACAAAGCGATATGGGAATGGCCCCAAAGAGGGGAGAAATTCGGATTGGGCAGAGGCAGGATGGCGTTTTTGGGACAGCCTCTGGGAGGAGCCCATTGAGATGAGCCTGGAAGGAAGTATACAGAGTCCAAGTAAACAGAGACCCAGGAGAAGCCAGGGACAAAGGAGTGGTCCAGGTGGTGGGAGTGTTGGGTGGGTTGAAGGATGAGATAGGAGGAGAAGGATCCGATGAGGATGAAGCTGGAGAGGTAGCATGGGGCCTTGAAAGTCTTGGAAGGCCCCGGACTTGACCTCTGAGCCAGAAAGGTTTTGAGGAGAGGAATGACAAGATGAAGAGAACGTTGAAATCATTAAGACGGTGGCATGGCATGAACATGCTATTAAAAGTAGAATCAGCCGGAACCGGTTTGGCTCAGTGGATAGAGCGTCGGCCTGCGGACTGAAAGGTCCCAGGTTCGATTCCGGTCAAGGGCACTGGAGAGGTAGCACGGGGCCTTGAAAGTCTTGGAAGGCCCCGGACTTGACCTCTGAGCCAGAAAGGTTTTGAGGAGAGGAATGACAAGATGAAGAGAATATTGAAATCATTAAGTTGGTGGCATGGCATGAACATACTATTAAAAGTAGAATCAGTGAGTCTTAGTTACTGATAAGTTGAGTGTGAAGATACATTTTAGGTACGCCTCTTAGGGTTGTAATAGAGGCAATAATAGACGGAGGAACAAAGTCACGTCGGATGTGATGGGAGGGGATGGAGTCAGGTAGACCTGCAGAGGACACAACCTCTGAGAGCAGACTCTTGGAAGTGGGGAGACTCAAGAAAGAGTTTCAAAAGACCAGAGCAAAACCCCTCAAGCAGGTGGCTCCATTAAGAGGGGCCCTAGCCGGTGTGGCTCAGTAGATAGAGCATCAGCCTATGGACCAAAGGGTCCTGGGTTCGATTCCAGTCAAGGGCACGTACCTATTTTGCAGAATCCCCCCTGGCCCAGGCTCTGGTCAGGGCCTGTGCAGAAGGCAACCAATTGATGTGTTTCTCTCACATCGATATTTCTCTCTGTCTTTCCCTCTCTCTCCTACTCTCTCTAAAAATCAATGGAAAAATATCCCTGGGTGAGGATTAAAAAAATACCTATATATATTAAACTAACAGAAACAAGTAAATATTCACTGAAGAAAAAAAAAAAAGAGGAGTGCAGAAGCCCCCTTACCGTGAGCAGGGACTCCATTCCTGAGGTGTCTTTGAGCATCCTCTACCACCATTCTTCACAGCCCCTCTCCCCAGAAACCCTCTGCTTGTCCTTCCTGCCACTATTCTGGCTTCACCTCCTCCCTGGAGCCTCCCTTTCTGGATGATGAGAACTACTTCCTCCTCTTGGCTCCCTCAGCACCGAGGATTTCTCCCACTTAGTTTATCCTCTGGCTCTGCCATCGACTCCAAACTCCTGCAGGGCGGGGCCTGCCTGCTGCAGTTCTGGGAGCTCCCAAGCCTGGTGTCATGCCTGGCACAGCGTGAGCATTCAACAAACAAATGCAGAGTGCAGCGCGCAGAGAGCTGGTGTATCTGATAGGTGTCTTCAAGGCACCTTTGCGTTTACAGCTAGGAGGCTCAAGGCACCTTGCCTTTAACAGCTAGGAAGCCCTCAGTCA